ATGTTTTATGCTTCCCTCTGTGCTTATTTCGTTCTTTTCTTGTTGTATTTCTGTTCCTCCTGTATTTTTGCAGTCTGTAAGATAACAGAGGAAATTCGAAATTGTGAGTCTTCGTGTTTGAATCTTGATGACAGTTTTTGTCCAAAATGCGTTTGTACAACAGAAAGCAAAACAGAAATAGTTTCGGATAGCCAAACGAATACACCTGATAAAGAAAACGGTATGTGAATAATGATTCGTTATATGCATTCTCAAAGAAAATAGATATCTTTCAAAGGTTTATGTGCACCAAACTTTCCTTTGTTTCCGTTTCTATAATTTCTATTTTCACTTTCAGTTTGTCCAGCAGTAGAACGAGGCTGTCCAAAAAGATGTCTGAAATTTGATAAAAATTACTGCGCGTACTGTTTCTGTGATAATGACTAGAATAAACTGCAGAAACGTTCAAATCATTATTTTTTTTTAATTTTCTTGTTTTATTGCTTTGCTAATTTTCAGTTTTTTTGATACCGGAAGTTGTCAGTTTTCCGTCATGAATACACAGTGACATCATTTTAATCGAAAAACGAAAAAGGCATTTTATATGTTTGAAATCTCGAATGTTTTACGCTTTTACATCAGCTGATCAAACAGTGACCTTTAGAATTAAGCCGGACAGCTGGTGCCATTATCACATGTGAGTATCAATGTACATTGCACGTTCAAAATACCGCTATGGACAACCATTAAATGACATCTTGAGAAATCATTACTTTGAAGGCGCTAGCTTTCTATCAATACTGTTTGGAGTACCATACATGAATATTTGCTTGAGACATTTTTTTGGATAGCCCATCTTAAGATTGCAGTGGTACCGTTAATATTTGTACAGTGCTTTTAAGGTAAGACGCGATTATGTGCGATTATGCCAATGTGGACTGGATTGATATTTTGTGTGTCAATGGCGACCGAATTCGTCACTCTTAAAAAAGTTTTACTTAGTAGTCATTTTTTACTTGAAATAACAAAGATTAGTAATAGATAATTACTAAGCATTTACTTAAAATTTAAAATCAATTACTGAAATATATGTCAATTACTAGATTCAAATGTTTTACTTGATTTTTGTATTTTAAAAAATTGTTTTACTTACACACTAAAAAGTTTTACTTAGTAATTTATATTTACTTAAATTTGTGTATATAAGTAATAACTTTACTTGGTCTTTAATACTTACATTTCACCACTATTTACTATATAATTAATATTTTAATGCCCCCGTAAACGAAGTTTCGGGAGTATATAGTTTTTGTCGTTTCCGTCTGTCTGTCTAGCTGTCTCTCTGATTCTCTGTTTATCCGCAGAAACTTTAACCTTGCCCATAACTTTTGATTTAGCGGAGCTATAACTTTCATATTTCACACGTGTATTCCTTGTGACAAGACCTTATACACAAAAAATTCAAACTTATTCTTTATCCAAATCTTTTTAACAGTAAATACCAGGACATTTATACTTCACATATATATTTTTTGTTGAAAGAACTTTCATTGAATACCAACAACTATGAAATTTTGACCTTGACCCTGGAGATTTCAATCCTTGGGAAAAAACTTTAACCTTGGCCATAACTTTTTAACGGTAAGGAAAAGTGCTTTCATACTTACATATATGTAATCATTTTAAGAAGACCATTTATAGGATACCAAGAACTTTGACCTTGACCTTGTAGTTTGACCCACTTTTAAAAAGCAAACCTTGACTGTAACTTTAAAAGGATTAGGGTTAGTGCATTCATACTTAACATAGTTCATCCTTGTGACAAGACCTTTCTTTGGGTACCACCAACTCTGTCCCTTTGTCCTTGACCTTGGAGTTTGACTTACATTTCAAAATTGGTAACCTTGACCATAACTTCTGAAGGGTTGAGGCAAGTGTTTCCATATTTCACATATGTATTTTTTTGTAGCAAGACCTTTCATTTGATACCAATAACCTTGACCTTTTGACCTTGGAGATATCAAGAAATCCCAATAATTAAATTTGCAGTTAAGAAAAGTTTAACCTTTGCTATGTTGCCATACAGTGGCATAGGTGTTTCACAAACACATCTTGCATGTTTGAATTGTATTTAATTGATTTACTTAAAACAAAAATTTATTTACTAAATCAAGGGGAATTCAGATCAGTAGTTACTTAAATATGGTAGTCTTATCACTAAATGTCTGTGAGGAGGAGTTATCTTTCATCTAAATATACCTTCATGTGAAAAAAAAGTCACACTAATAAAAATGCGATATTAAGTACTTGAAATGTTTAACCATTTTTAAAATGGTCCTTAAAAAAATACAACTTATTCAATTTTTAAGGCTTTCGAAGTTGGAATCAAATGTTTTATTGTTATATATAATAAAACAGTTACAAAGAAATTGGCAAAAGAAATGGAAAGTATAATTGTTTCCATCATAAGTAGATTTCTTCTATTTAACCATTCAGAGGGCTCAATTAGGGAACTCTGATAAAGAAATCTGTGAGTAGTACTCACATGTCAGAGGGTGGGTACCTTGCAGTGTTTCTAGTAAATAATGTCGATTTTAGTAAATATGATAAGTATTTCATTTACTTAGTATTCTTTTAAGTAATAATATTGTAGATTTTAATTAATTTCAGAATTTCATTTACTTAGTAATAATTCATAAAATTTAGTAAATGGAAAGCATATTATCTCTGAATTAAGTAATAATAATTTAACAAAAATGAGTAGTTCATTTACTAACTTAAAGTAATACAATTCCTATAATTTAAGTAACTCTATTGATACTTAGTAAATCATTTTATAAGTAAATGAATTCATCCTTATTACTAATTATGTTTACAATTACTAACCATGATAGTCATTTACTTGCTATTCTGACTAAATGGATTACTAATAATTACTAGTTTTTCTCAATCTAATATCTTATTTTAAAAACAACAAGTAAAACTTTTTTTTGTGTCTACGTCTAGTAGATTGATGTTTTTTGTATCCATGGAGACTGGATTAATGTTTTGTGTATCCATGGCGACCGAAGTGATGTTTTTGTGTCCAAGGCGGCAAAATTCATATCTTGTGTGACCTTTGCGACTAAATCGATATTGTGTGTGTTCATGACAACTAGATTGATGTTTCGTGTGTCCATGACGACTGAATTGATGTTTTGTGTGACCCTGGCGATTGAATGTTTAGATGTATTTTTCTGTTAAATTGAAATGTGCCTATTGAATAACAAGAACAATGGCATTTTTCATATCGGTTTTCAAAAAAAAAAAACTCAGTACTATTATATTGATGCTTTCAGGTTGCAAAAATACAAAATACTGAAAATAAATTTTAAAGGTTATATAGTTTGACCTATGTCTACTCACGTAATTGATATTCACACACTGAATCGTGTGCGGATTTTTCTATCCGCTCGATCATGACAATGGTCTCATTGCGGGGTTGACCGGTCCTAGGAGACTGGATTGATGTTATGTGTGTCCATGGCGACCGAATCGACACGGCGGGTGTGTCCGGTCGGCAGGGGATGCTCACTCCTCCATGGCACCTGATCCCACCTCTGATGTTTCAGAGGTCTGTGTTTTTTCTGCTCCTATTTTGTATTGTTTTATGGAATTTTAGATTGAATACTGTTCGTCATCTCCATATCCTTCTTGCATTGCAAAAATAAAACTAATGATCAATTGACGGTCGTCAATGTACCGTTAACTGAATACTACGATTGAATATTAATAGTATTTTTATTTTTTGGGATAACTTCAGATATTTAAAATAAGCAAACCTTGTGAGCTGATGCATCTTGGGTCCATTAAACGTAACTATATAAAAAGATGCTCACAGGTACCTACTTTCTTCTTTTCTTTTTTTTTTAAAGATTTTTGGGCATTTTTCTTCAAAATGTATTAGAGTAATAGACGGACACTTTAAGATCAAACGTCATCGTTGTTCCTCGGAGTTACCAACAAATTTTTCCAGTTATTTCCAGATCACGACAAGAAACACATCTGTCGGCAGGGGATGTTCACTCCTCTTTTGCAACTGATCCAACGTCTGTTGTTTTGGAGGTCCGTGTTTCCTCTGCTCAGAAAATTGTATTTTTCAGCTTGAATATTGTTTGTTATCTCCATGTGTTTCATGTAGGTCAATGTAAACTTACTTTCCAAATTCTATGCCTGTCTTTAAATATCGTGGGTAGAAATTGGTTAAGAATCACCGAACTTTGTCAATCAATGCACCATCTGCTCTCAAAACAAGTCAGCTGTAATGTAGGTCACTATGATCTTCTTTTGATTTTCTATGTGTTTTTTTTTTTGTTGAATATTTTTATATATTAATTGACCTTAAAATATCAAATATCAAAGTAGATACGGAAGTATATGGAGAACAAAATATACATAAACGAAGATAAAAAATTGCTGTCAGATTGTTTTTTAATTCTTGAGACAATAAAGAATATTAAAGTTCATTTGAATACTACAAAAAGGGAGCAGACCAAACATGGACTTTCAAAAACAGAAGTGAGATTAATTGCAGTTGAGGTCTTAATATCCCCTGTCGCCGATCAAACTCGCCGTGCCCTCCTTGCTATGATCGACTATATAGAAAACTCCGTTGAAATATCAAGGTGTAATTTATTGATCTTCAATCATAATGTCATGCTTATAAATCTTCGAATAGCAGAGAATGCAGTTGATTTGCAATACATCATTAGAAATTGACCTTATGATAGATTGCATTTCTATAAAAAGGTCATTTTACCGACCAAATTAGAGTTTAATTTTTTTCGAACTTTCTTAACTTTGTCCAGTCTACAAATGACCAGTGAGTGCTGAACAGTACATATTACACAAGACAGCTGGTGTCTTTATCAAGACTCCGTATCAATATGAAGGGGGCATCGCGTACTGGCGCGCGCCTGATACCGCCATCTTACTACCATAAGACCTGACCCTCCTAATGGAGCGGTGTCACTCTATAGATACAGCTAACCCTTCATCATGTCCCTCTGGAGTCTTACATTGTTAATTCTAGTGATTAGTGTATTCCGGATACAGAACACTAGAGGTAAGGGAGAACTCATTATTTATCCATTGGGAGTCTTACATTGGTAATTCTAGTGGTAAGTTTATTCCGTATACACAACACTAGATTTACGGGATAATTCATTATTTATCTATTGGAGTCTTACATTGGTAATTCTCGTGATTGGTGTATTTCGTATACAGAATACTAGAGGTAAGGGGAGAATTCATTATTTATATATTGGTAACTAAATTGGTTACTGTATTCTGTATACCGAACACTCAAGTCAAAAGTGTCCATTTATGGCATTATCTTTGGGTCTCTGATTTTCTTAATTCTTTGTTTAGTGGTTGATGTAAATGTTATGACTTATTCCTTAGATTTACTACAATCTTGCTCTTACAATTTTTCAATATGTGTTGATTCATAGTTTATTTTTTAATGCTCGATCAGATAAACATCATTAATGGATTTAAGGAAATGAATCCCTATTTATTTCACGCATCTCCATCTTTTACATTTTAACGATGCTTACTCCTCCAAGGCATCTGATCCCATCTCTTGAATTACTAAGGATCCGTATTTTATGTTCCTTCCGATTTTTTCATTTATAAATTGTTATTCATTACATGTATTTCTATCTTTTTCATATGAAAGATTTGTTTGATTCCAGGATTTACTCTGTCTAGACAGGGCGTATGTTCCCCGGTCAGTGTCAACTGTCCTAACGTAAAATACGACTTCTCCACTGGATGTTTTGTTTGCATTGGTAAGAATTACTACTGTTGATTTTATAAACTGGCCTTACGTAAATTACGATTTTGATTTTCGTTTTTGATAGCTTTCTGTTGATTTTTTGCTGTTAAACGCCGTATATTCTTTATATTTTTTTAATAATGTAGTTCTGCATTAATGGGGTTAATTCTACATATATATATGATGAAAATTTTCATAGAAAACAAAACCTTTATGCATAAAAAAAAAATAATGATGATATAAATTGTACACTCTATATTTTACAATAATTTAAGATAAAAATATCAAATTATTTTACGACATTGACATTTAGAATGTTGAATAATATATTTTTAGAATTACTGATATTGCTATTGTTAGACTTTGTTGTTACTGACATCACAAAAATAATTCCTAGGACAATATCTTTTAAACAAATTGGTGTGATTTTACAGCCTATTCGTGGAATTCTAAAAGTTGTATATATATATAAATTCAATTCTTATTGTAATTCGAAAATTATACAATTATTCGTTTTTAGCTCACCTGAGCCGAAGGCTCAAGTGAGCTTTTCTGATCACATTTTGTCTGTAGTCCGTCTGTCCGTCCGTCTGTCTAGCTGTCTGTCTGTCTGTAAACTTTTCACATTTTCAACTTCTTCTCAAGAACCGCTGGGCCAATTTCAACAAAACTTGCCACAAAGCATCCTTGGGTGACGGGGATTCAAGTTTGTTCAAATGAAGGGCCACGTCCTCATTCAAGGGGAGATAATTGGGAATTAACAAAAATTTGGTGGCATGTTTTAAAAATCTTTTTCTCAAGAACCACTGTGCCAGGAAAGATGAAGCTTATATGGAAGCATCCTCAGGTAGTGTAGATTCAAGGTTGTTCAAATCATGACCCCCAGAGGTAGGGCGGGGCCACAATGGCCGACCAATGTTTTACATAGAAATATATAGGAAAATTCTTTAAAAATCTTCTTCTCAAGAATAACAAAGCCATAATTGATCATATTTATATGGAAGCATCCTCAGGTAGTGTAGATTCAAGTTTGTTCAAATCATGACCCCCGGGGGTAGGGCGGGGCCACAATGGCCGACCAAAGTTTTACATAGAAATATATTGGAAATTTCTTTGAAAATCTTCTTCTCAAGAATAACAAAGCCATAATTGATCATATTTATAAGGAAGCATCCTCAGGTAGTGTTGATTCAAGTTTGTTCAAATCATGACCCCTGGGGGTAGGGCGGGGCCACAATGGCCGACCAAAGTTTTACATAGAAATATATTGGAAATTTCTTTAAAAATCTTTTTCTCAAGAACCACTGTGCCAGGAAGGATGAAACTTATGTGGAAGCATCCTCGGGTAGTGTAGATTCAAGGTTGTTCAAATCATGACCCCTAGGGGTAGGGCGGGGCCACAATGGTCGACCAAAGTTTAACATAGAAATATTTAGGAAAATTCTTTAAAAATCTTCTTCTCAAGAACCACTGTGCCAGGAAGGATGAAACTTACATGGAAGCATTTTCAGGTAGTGTAGATTCAAGGTTGTTCAAATCATGACCCCTAGGGGTAGGGCGGGGCCACAATGGCCGACCAATTTTTACACAGAAATATATAGGAAAATTCTTTAAAAATCTTCTTCTTAAAAAAAAAACAAAGCCATAATTGATCATATTTATATGGAAGCATCCTCAGTAGTGTAGATTCAAGTTTGTTCAAATAATAACCCCCGGGGGTAGGGCAGGGCCACAATGGCCGACCAAACTTTTTACATAAAAGTGTATAGGAAAATTCTTTAAAAATCTTCTTCTCAAGAATAGCAAAGCCATAATTGGTCATGGGACTACTTTTGGGTTTAAACTTTTCAATAATAAACCAATTTCTACTTTTTCCTAGCCACAGTTCTTAGGTGAGCGATGTGGCCCATGGGCCTCTTGTTTTTTAAATATACTTAGTTTTCTAAAATTATTTTACATTTCTAAAGGGGAGGATAAACAACAGGTGACTTCCGGTGCAGCTGTACCGCAGTATGTCAGTCCACTGAAGGAAGGTAAGAGTTCACTTTATCTGTTGTCAAAGGAAAAGAAAGCTTCTCACATTTTTAAAAGAATTAAAATAATACATCTTAACAAGTATCATTGTACCTAACCTTTTTCCCGTGTATAAAGAAATGCAATACACGTATCTCATGTAAAACAAAAAAAGTATGTCTTAGAAAAATCTTTATATGTTAAGTTCTCGCAATACATTATGTTATTGCAACATATTCCATACAAACTACAGTGACACGCATATATCTGTATCTATAATTATTAACTTAAATAAGAAATCATCTCACATAGTAATTTATGTAGCACTGTAAATCAAAAACGTGTTGTAGTTGTTTTGGTAAATAATTATGCCATTTTTCAATTCCGATGTCTGTAATCTGAAAGTTAATAATTGGGTTAATTTTTAATAAAACAAAAAAAGCAGGCATGGGGTTGGCAATTCCTCAATAGCACATTTTATGTTTGAAAAGTCCGCGTTTGCTCTTCCACTGATTTGTATTGTTTGAATGGACCTTTGACCTTGAATACTGCTCGTTTTTCTCTATATATTTCATGTCATGTATTTTAATTTTTACGCAGATTGCAAGGACAAAGGCATCATGCTTCAGTTGATGCTGAATATTCCTAACAGTGGATGTTCTACTTGTGGACAGAGAGAACCAATGCCTATCGGCTGGAACCCTATGGCTATGACAAATTCTCCCCCATCTTCTACCGCTCCTCCTGTAACTACAACAACGAACCCACCAGAAACGACGACAGAAAATGTCCCATGTCCATGTAAAGACCCCGCTCATCATCATGGTACTCATTCTACTAGTACAACCGTGACAACTCCAGAAACCACCTCCATACCAACTACCACCACCACCACTCAACAAACTACCACCACCCCTCAAACAACTACGTCCACTCCTCAAACAACCACCGCCACACAAACCACTTCTACTACCCCTCAAACAACCACAACAGAGAAAACTACGACAAAAACAAATCCAACTACAACATTATCTTCTACAACAAAAACTACCCCTACCTCAACTACTACTACAACAACCAAAGCCACTACAACGAAGTCAACAACTACTACAACAACGAAAAAACCAACAACTACTGTAAAGACTGAACCAACTAAAAGACTACACCTTACTTCAAAGACGACAACAACCACTACAGCAAAGCCTAGTACCACTACAAAATCACGGCCCCATCACATCAAAACCACTACTCCTATTCATAAGAGCACGACATCTAGATTAAGCACCACATCTATCGCTGCTTCCTCCTCAGCGAAAAATTCAGCAACCTCGAGTACTTCACAAGAGAGCAACTCCTCTAAGAACAATCACGCTAATGGCGGCAATTCTAAACATGATAATTCCTCAAACAACAATTCCAACCACAGCAGTACTTTCACTAACAACACTTCCTCTCATAGCAACACCTTCTCCAGTAGCAGTTCTAGCTCTAGCTATTCCAGTAGCAGTTCATCGTCCAGCAGTAGTTCCTCTTCAAGCAGTTTCTCCAGCAACAGCGGCAACCAAAATACTACAAACGGCAACCACCATCACGGGAATAACCACCACCACAACAAACATCCTCACAATGGCACCAGTTCTCACAGCAACAATTTCTCCAACAGCAGTTCATCTCAGAGCAGCTCAAGCAGTAGTAGCAGCAGTACCAGCACCTCCTCACAAAATGGCGGCAATTCCAACAGCAGCCTTCCTAACGGCCATGGTCATCACAGTTCTCACAACACTTCTAACAGCAATCAACACTATTCCCAGTCAAACAGTTATTCTACAAATAACGGTTCATCCCAGAATAACTTCTCAAACAGCAGCTCTTCTCACAACGACCACACACAGAATAGCAGTTCCAATGCTAACAGTAACAACACGAATAACGGCTCATCTAAAAATAACATCTCTGGAAACAATAATTCTTCCAATAGCACGAACACGTCCAACAAAAACTCATCGAACAGTACGAACACTTCGAAAAATAATCCCTTGACCAATACTAACAATTCCACCGATAACACCTCAAATAACATGAATACATCGAAAAATAACACTTCAAATAACATGAATAATTCAAAAAATAGTAACTCTAACACAGTTAACAATTCTAATAACAGCTCTTCTAATTCCACGAACACTTCCAGCAAAACTTCCTCTAATAACATAAACAACTCTAAAACTAACTCCTCAAGCAATTCTAACACTTCAAGCAATAACTCCCAAAACAACGTGAACAATTCAAAAAACAACTCTAATAATTCCACAACTTCCAAGACCTCGTCAAATACCTCCACCTCTAACACCATGAACACTTCTAATAATAGTAACAATTCGAGTAGTACCAATAATTCAAACAACAGCCAGTCCCAAACAAACCACACATCTAGCAACAACATCCATAAAACAACTACCCTTAAAACAACGACCACTCCCGCAAAAACAACAACCTTAAAAACAACGACTATCCCAACAACGACAAAAGCTCCAACGACAACGACGAAACCAACAACGACGACGACAACACCAATAACAACGACAACTCCAACGACGACAACAACACCAACGACGACAACAACACCGACGACGACGACAACACCAACGACGACAACAACGCCGACGACGACAACAACACCAACGACGACAACAACACCAACAACCACGACAACACCGACGACGACAACAACACCAACTACCACGACAACACCGACGACTACAACAACACCAACTACCACGACAACAACACCGACAACAACAACAATTAAGATAACCATGCCACCAGAATTAAAAACTACAGAAAAAATAACTGTGCCACCCTCATTGAAAACAACAACAGTTAGGACGTCAACAACAGGAGTGCCTACAACTACAGGTAGGTTATAGGTAAAAAACGGATCAGTCTGATTAGGACATACTACAGGTAGGTTATAGGTAAAAAACGTATCAGTCTGATTAGGACATACTACAGGTAGGTTATAGGTTAAAAACGGATCAGTCTGATTAGGACATACTACAGGTAGGTTATAGGTTAAAAACGGATCAGTCTGATTAGGACATACTACAGGTAGGTTATAGGTAAAAAACGTATAAGTCTGATTAGGACATACTACAGGTAGGTTATAGGTAAAAACGGATCAGTCTGATTAAGTAATACTACAGGTAGGTTATAGGTAAAAAACGGATCAGTCTGATTAGGACATACTACAGGTAGGTTATAGGTAAAAACGGATCAGTCTGATTAGAAAATACTACAGGTTGGTCACAGGTAAAAAAAAAAACTGGAACAATTGGATTAGGAAATCAAGTGCTTTGAACAACAACAAAAATAGAAGCATCAAAATCTTCCATACATTAAGCACATGTACAACTTCATCACTTGAAAAAACAGCGCTTGATAACAATTCCAAAAGCTTTCAGGTCCTTTTAGTTATACGTCATTATACAAATAAAACGCAAAGTATTCATATCAACACAACAAGAGATACAGCACAAAATCTAAAGTACTCGCTGCAACAAAACAAAGCAAAACGCAATAAGGTAGTTGGAGTTGAAGAAAAGTTTTCGAGCTTAAAAGTCCATTAAACATTAAAAAAATAACAGCAGAGCAAACATGGACCTACAAAACCTCAGAGGTGTGCTTACTAGGTAGATGACATTCCATAACAAAACTCAGCACAACACCTCAGGTAGACGATAGAAACAATTCAAAGCAACGCCATAAGTCGCTGATCATGGCAAAAACATTCAGCATTATAAGGGATAAATATTAAGAATAATAAGCATACTAATTTTCATCTCATCAACTAGACCTGGCATAACACCTTGAAGGGTAATTATCAAGAGTTTGTTCTCTATTTTTTAATGGTTCATCTTAATGTTTATTGAAAAACTTTCTACTTTTTTCAGGTTGCCCACCTTTCCCAAGTAATTGTCCGGTAGCGTGTGGGAGCTTTGATATGATCACCTTTTGTCCCATCTGCGACTACAGCTTGTGTGGAAGTAAGTAAACTTTGATCACGTGACGTTTTCCCAGTCTGTGTCTACAAAAAGTATGGTAGTAAGTAAACTGACGCCGTGACCTTTTGTCTTGTTGGTGACTACTACTGTGTGGTAGTAAATAAAATTTTAACTCGTTATTTGGTTCTTTATTTTCAGTGACACCGCCTACTTCCGGTTGAAATGCCGTTCCCCGTGCTACAGCAAGCCATAAGGATCACAATATGGCACTAAAGGTTTTGACCAACTTGACTGTATTTTTAAAAAATAAAGCTTGAAAATATTGTTGATGTTTTCTATATGTGTAGGATAAGGTAGAAGCATTGTGTTATTGCACCTGATTAGGTTTGTGTCTGGGATACCTGTGTAAGATTATATATCAGGGCCTAATTTTTCACGCATCCAAATCTTTGTTGTCAACGAAAGACAAAAATCATCATATACTACTATAAATAATCCTATAATAAAAATCAACTTTCAGGGAACACTGGAGAGAGACCCCCTTTCTCTGTGTGACTGCTCATTTGTTTTAAAAGGAACAGTGTTGTTTGGAAAATTAAATGAAGAGAGAGAGAGAGAGAAATTTGTCTTAGAGACAACGATCACTAGCTCTTTTGATTACTTAATTATATTTTTAGCATCAGGAGATTTACAGAAAAGTTTCTTAATCCAAGGTTAAATTGCCTGTATAATATGAATTAAAATTTATGGAATCGAATTTTGAAATGATAAAATCGTATGCAATTAACAAAAATGAATTATGAAAAAATACATAATTTATACCTCTTTCGATTTTATTGACTGGAAAAATATAAATTTCCAATTTTTCTAGCAAAACCACAGGCCTTTGCATTGGATCGCTTAAAAAAACGTGTGTGTAAAAAAATAATGGTATTGAACTCTTACCATGGGTACCTAATTTCGCTAATAAAATATTTTTTATTCTAATCCTACTTTCTATTGAAATCTATTTATAGATAATTATTTTTCAATTCTACTAAATCTCATTCCGAAATTCCATATATTTCTTGAGATATACTGAAATCAATTTAAAAAATGACGTACTTTCTTTTACTCGATATTAGCTTGGGCCCCTGGTCCTTCACATGTAAACAGACGGTGTCTGAAGTACAGCAAAGAGTTGAATAGTATTTGCAATATCTATCAACAATTTCTTACTCCAGATTGTAACCTTAAATCTGTAATAATATTCCATTAGCGAAAAATTCATTTGAAAACGTCTACATAAACAAGTTTGGCTTTCCAGAAAGCCTGAAATGTCATCTCTTTGGTATCAATAATGTCAAAGAAATTAAACAGAAAGGGAAATATTTTAATGCAATGAATATATTGATTATTACACCTGAAGTTCCCAAATGACTTATTCAGCAAACTCCACAGTAAAGCACGCAGTTTCTTTTGGCCGCAGTATATATATGGAAAGCATGGACGTCTGCGAGAGTACCCAAGGCGATTTTTGGTGAAATTTCATTCTAGCGGTATTTGTGCTTCTGGGTGTTTACAATTTACTTAAATTCAAATACTTTCCTTGAACTATATTTTCTTAACACAATACGAACGGAATTATCAACAATACTTATCATTCATTTAAAAGCAGCTACATGTAATCATTAAAGTTTGACAGGAATTAATTTACTAAATCCAATTACAGACTAAAAAATTCACATAAAATTAGAGTTGACCACTCTTCATTCCTTTTTTGTAGAATCTAATTGTAAGCTTGTTCTATTGTGCGAGAACCAGTTTTCCCTTCGCGTCAACAAATCTACTGAGTATATATATATAGAAATCACGTCATTGTCAATTCTCCTTGTGTGGCTTACCAATTTAATAAGGCATAGCATTGAGGATCAATATATATACGACACACCGAAACTATAGATATTTATAAGCATCGTTCTTCTTTTCTAAATTTTCCTTGGCTTTCAAATAGGCCTAAACCGAAAGTAGATCACACACCCCTAAGCTAGTTCTTCTAAAAGAAAACCAGTTTGCAGGCTACTTGGAACTCTGTAAAACATCGAGGACTCCCGAAAGATAAATGGAGGCTTAAACTAGGACTTCACTTCCGGCATACAATCTTAATGTGTCATCTCCATAGGGAGATGATAAAAACTACCGCCATGTTGATTATGAATGTACATTTGTAAATGAAGCCATGGTAGAAAGAGTTTTTCCCGGAATGCATTAAATACCTTTTGATTTTCAAAACAAAATTAGACTGCTAAAATGTTGTTTGTAACTTAGTTACACCATATGATCAAATTAAAGAAAGACCTTGTAAAGCTTGAATGCAAATGAACAAATATTCATAGAGTTTAGACTAAATTCCGGAGAAAATTTGTCCCGTCGTTCCCGCTTTACAATTAGTGAAGGCCCAAGCTGTTGTCGAGTCAATCTCTACCCGGAGTTTTCGTTCCACTTATACCTCTGTTAACGTCTGAAAAGTAGTACGGAAGCGGAGGGACGTGATTTTTATTTTAAATGTTGTTTAAAATTGCCCACAAGAAGATAAACACCTTTACATTTCTATTTATGTGTCAAAGCTGCAAGTTGTTTGTCTATAAAAACTAAACCACGTTAATATTTATCGGCAATACGTTTTAAATTTTCCACGTTCGTAATATCCTGCCGAGAAATAATCCCCGATAAGATATGGCGAAAAAGTGATATCTGATTCCAATTCTCATAAATAAACTTTCATTTCATATGTTAAGCAAAAGTATAAAAGTTTTACATTGATAATTTATGATGCAATCGGTAAAAGTAAGTTTTGCCAAGAATCTTGGCATTTAGACGTTGACAGAGGTGTTGTAGCGAAGCGAACGATAACTCTGGGTAGAGATTGATGTCGAGTAAAAAAATTAATGTCAATTTGGGTATTGATTACAGAATATCTCGAGAAGTGAAAGGAATTACGGAATGAACTTTGGTAGTAATGAAGATTGTTTATATTTAGATAGATATGGATAGAAAGTAAAATTGTAAAGCATTTAAAAGAATTTTTTTGGCGAAAGTGGGTACCCCATGAAAAGAGTTCCATACCTTTATTTTTTTTCAACAACTCAATTTTTTTTCTAAGCGATCTAAAGGCCTGTGAGAAAAACCAAATTTGATGGTTTTCCCTGTACCACAACAAACCTTAACAGAAACAAATAGCCATGAAACCTCGGAAAAAGGAAACCTGTACTAACCGCTCCCTGGCTAACTTATTCAACACGGCAAAGCAACACAACCCGTTTCTTATCAGCGGTACCTCCACAAACTCATACCTACATATAGTTAGTATACATGTACATGCAAAGTTTGGGAAAATCTACCGTCCAGGTATTTTTGAGGGACCGTCTCAAAATACAGGTGCATTTACTATAAGATTATGTAGGAAAATGCCAATTGTTAGCACTTTAAATTTTTTAGCACTTTAAAGCAAATTATACAAATACTGCAATAGACATTTTGTTCAAATTATGATATTTGATGAGTAATACCATATTATACAAGATATGTAAGAAACACAAAGTTCTACCGTCTTGTTACCAGAGCTGGCATCTCAAAATGAAAAAATAGCAAATTTTTCTATATATTTTAAAGAGTATTACAAAATTTGACGTATACAATGGATTCACATGAAAACATAATAAAGATATTGGAGATATTCTCTAATTTCTATGTTTTGGAATTTCAAGAGCATATGTTTGTTACATTCTTTTTAATAATATTTTTATTACCCTGTTCTTTAAGAGCTACAGATTATCATTACGTCAAAAACACACTGCAACGACGTCAACCTACCTATCAATTGCAAAATCGGTTAAAAAATCAGTTATATAACATTGTAATTACATTTTTATCGCTATAATTTCTTAATTTTGTTTAATTTTAATAATTAAGCGAAAACAGTTGCATTAAAACAGTATATTTATACCCGCACTTTCTAAAGAAAGTTCGGGTATATTGTTGTTACTCATGTCCGTCCGTCCGTCCGTCTGTCACACTTTTCTTCCCTGAACTCCTCCTACATTTTAAACAGTAGCTTAATCATATTTTGGGAGACGGTTGGTGGGGTCATGTAGATGTGCAATAAGGTTTCGGAATTTTGATTTTGCCCCGGGGGGTCAAATGGGGGTCGAAAAATGACGTTTTTTGTGCAAAAAGTCCCGTCTTCCCTGAACTCCTTCTACATTTTACTCAGCAGCCTAATCACCTTTTGGGGGATGATTGGTGGTGTCATGTAGATGTGCAGTAAGGTTTCGGAATTTTGATTTTGCCCCAGGGGGTCAAAAAGGGGTCAAAAAATGACGTTTTTTATGCAAAAAGCCCCATCTTCCCTGAACTCCTCCTACATTTTACTCAGCAGCCAAATCATCTTTTGGGAGATGGTTGGTGGTGTCATGTAGATGTGCAGTAAGGTTTCGGAATTTTGATTTTGCCCCTGGGGGTCAAATGGGGGTCAAAATGACGTTTTTTGTGCAAATAGCCCCGTCTTCCCTGAACTCCTTCTACTTTTTACTCAGCAGCCTAATCACCTTTTGGGGGATGATTGGTGGTGTCATGTAGATGTGCAGTAAGGTTTCGGAATTTTGATTTTGCCCCGGGGGGTCAAATGGGGGTCGAAAAATGACGTTTTTTATGCAAAAAGCCCCATCTTCCCTGAACTCCTCTTACATTTTACTCAGCAGCCTTATCATCTTTTGGGGGATGATTGGTGTTGTCATGTAGATGTGCAGTAAGGATTCGGAATTTTGATTTTGCCCCGGGGGGTCAAATGGGGGTCTACAAATGATGTTTTTTATGCAAAAAGCCCCGTCTTCCCTGAACTCCTTCTATATTTTACACAGTAGCCTAATCATCTTTTGGGAGATGATTGGTTGGGTCATGTAGATGTGCAGTAAGGTTTCTGAATTTAGATTTTGCCCCGGGGGGTCAAATTGGGGTGGAAAAATAACGTTTTTTACACAAAAAGCCCCGTTTTCCCTGAACTCCTCTTACATTTTACTCAGCAGCCTATTCATCTTTTGAGAGATGGTTGGTGGGGTCATGTAGATGTGCAGTAAGGTTTCGGAATTTTTATTTTGCCCTGGGGGGTCAAATGGGGGTCAAAAAATGACATTTTTTATGCAAAAAGCCCCGTCTTCCCTGAACTTCTCCTACATTTTACACAGTAGCCTAATCATCTGTTGGGAGATGGTTGGTGGTGTCAGGTAGATGTGCAGTAAGGTTTTGGAATTAAGATTTTACCC